GGCACTTAAATGACCTGATTTTTGTGCTTCACACTTCTGAAAAATCAGGATGCTTATTTGCATTCATGAGTAACAATACATATGCCTGTTCCCTCACTTCCGTACAGACGGAGGCTCTCATTTGTAGTATACAAGGAACACTAGGGACTGAGATTACAAGACTACTGTTAATCCTGCTTGATATTAGACAAGCCATTTCTCCCCCAGAAGCATTACTACTTTGGCAATAAGTGGATTGCAAAAGTGGATTTATTATCAGCCCCTTGATTACTCTGCAGGTGTTTTAAATTATTGCTACCCACCTTAATGTTCCCTAAATTAACTGTTTTCAAAGTCTTTACAAACACAGTTTAGCAATTAGAATACAGCACATAATTGTTCTTTTTAATAAAAATAGATATTAGAAGAGAGAGTGCTTTATTAAATAGACTATGAATCAAAAGGAAAACACTTTTAGTCAAAGGACTGAGATGTTCATTATGTAAATTAAACTATTCAAAATTTGTAACAGTATGTGTAAGACTTGCAGCAAGTCTAGCTTCTTAAGACAATCAAATACGTTCTACCAGGCAACATGCCTCCTTAAGCATTTGCTTAAAACCTAAGCACAAAACACAGCACATACTTAAGTGCTTTGCAGCAAGTTCTACCACACTGGTGTGTAATTCACAAAGGGAAACTCATATTACACAGCACTGAGACAGCAGTAACCTACCGAAGCATGACACATTTCCTGCACAAATACAATATTTCATTATTTTTGCCGTAAGGTTGCAGAATATTCTAAACCCCACAAGGAACAATTACCTATACTAACAGTGCTTGGGCAACTTCGTTGCCTCGTAACCTCAGCTACAGGACAAGGAAACAAAATACACAGCAGCTTCTTTCAAAAGTGAAGAAAGATGGGAGAAGAAAAGTTAGAACAAATTGCCACTGGAAGCCAAGTACCTTTGTTTTGAACAAGTCTTCCATGCTTACCTTGGCAAACGCATCTTTCATAAGCACTGAATCCATCTTAAATAGGAAGGGCTGGTGTTTGACTTGACTCTTTATCAACACAAAATTATACATATAAAGCATTGTACTTTTGAACACATTAACCAATTAGTTACAACAAGATTTTCATACATCCACTTCCATGGTGAACTGAGGTGTTTCCTGAGGCAAGGAATCTATTTAACATAAGTGCAAAACAGTTTTTTCAGCTGTGCTGGCTCTCCACAGCAACTACATGCTGAGCAACTGGGTTCTACCACAGTTCTCAACCGTCTGCCATCACAGAAGGAACTAGAGGAAAAGGTTGTACCTCTTCTAGCTCCTATTCCCAACTCATATATCCCAACACCTAGGTGAGGGAGGATAAACTGAACTACAAAGTGAAGTTGCCATTTCTGATCTGAATTCCTTGATTGTGTGAAGTGAATTTGAAAATTGAACCACTTAATTGGTGTAGCACCCTTCATGTATCACTCCTCCATCATTCCTTAATTCAAGGGATTGCCAAAACTCCTTCTATTGCAAAAAATCATCCAGCTCAGATGACCTTGGCACTCCCCTGTCTTCACTTTTTCATCAGCAATCCTGAGGGCGTTGATGCTCTGCACTCCTTTAATTGCTTCTCTGAAGCCACCCAGTTCTACTGGGCAGATACATATTTTATCAGGAAATGTTGCAGGGCTATCCAGTTGCTGTTGCAGGGCTATGATCTTGCTGGGATCACGGACACATGGTGGTATGACTCGCATGACTGGAGTGCTGCAATGAAGGGATACAGGCTCTTTAGGAAAGAACGGCCAAGAAGACAAGGTGAAGTGGTGGAGTTGCCATTTGCATAAGAACACAGCTGGAATGCATGGAGGTCTGCCTTGGGATGGACAGTGAGCCAACTGAGAGCTTATGGTTAAGGACTAAAGAGATGACAGGTATGGGTGACATTATAGTGGGTGTCAGCTATAGGCCACCTGACCAGAAAGAAGAAGTGGATGAGGCCCTCTACAGACAACTAGGAGCAGCTTCACAGGTCCTGGTCCTCAATATCTACTGGAGGGACACCACAGCAGGACATAAGCACTTCAGAAGGTTCCTGAAGAGCATCGATGACAACTTCCTGACCCAAGTGACAGAGAAACCAACGAGAAGAGGTGCTCTGCTGGACCTCATACTCACCACCAAGGGGCTTTTTGAGGATGTGAAGGTCAAAGGCAACCTTGGCTGCAGTGGCCATGAGATATTGGAGTTCAGGATCCTGAGATGAGGGAGCAGGGAAAAAAGCTAGCACAATGCTGGACTTTAAGAGAGCAGACATTGGCCTCTTCAAATATCTGCTTGGTAGAGTCTGATGGGATAAGGCCCTGGAGGGAAGGGGGGCCCAAGCAAGCTGGTTAATATTCAAGGGATCACCTCCTCCAAGCTCAAGAGTGTTTCACCCCTATGAATAGGAAGTCAGGCAAAAACGCCAGGAGGCCGGGATGGATGAACAAGAAGCTCCTAGCAAAACTCAAACAGAAGAAAGAGGCGTACAAAGGGTGGAAGCATGGACAGGTAACCTACTAGGAATATAGAAACACTGTGCAAGCATGCAGCGATGCAGTTAGAAAAGCCAAAAGCCCACCTGGAATTGAATCAGAGATTTCAAAGGCAACAAGGACTTCTACAAGTACATAGGTGAAAAAAGGAAGGCTAGGAAAAATGCGAGCCCAGTGCAGAATGGGGCAGGGGCACTGGTGACACAGGACATGGAAAAGGCTGAGGTCCCGAATGCCTTCTTCACCTCTGTCTTTACTAGTAAGATTGGCATTCAGAAACCCCAGGCCCAGAGACTGGGGGAAAGGCTAGAACAAGGAAGATGTGCCTGTGGTTGAAAAGGATCAGGTCAGGGAATACTTAAGCAAACTAGACATGCGTAAGTCCATGGACCCTGATGGGATGCACCCATGAGTGCAGAGGGAGTTGGCAGGTATCATCACAAGGCCACTCTCAATAAACTTTGAATACTCATAGCAACTAGGCAAGTGTCCAAAGACTGGAGGAAAGCAAATGCCACTCCCATTCTCAAGAAGGGCAAGGAGGAGGAACCAGGGAACTACAGTACGGTCAACCTCACCTCGATGAGGTGATGGAGCAACAGATATTGGAAACCATTTCCAGGCACATGAAGGACAAGAAAATCATCAGTAGTCAGCATGCATTCATCGAGAGGAAGTCATGCTTGACCAACTGCATAAATTTCTATGATGAAATAAATGACTGGCTTGGTAGATGAGGGGTGAGCAGTGAATATACTCTACCTTGACTTCAGGAAGGCTTTTAACACCATCTTGGATGAGCAGACAGTAAGGTGGATTGCAAACTGGCTGACCAGCCAGTCCCAGAGAGTGGTGATCAGTGGAACAAACTCTAGTTGGAGGCCACTAACTAATAGTGTACCCCAGGGGTCAATACTGGGTCCAATCGTGTTCAAAATTCTGGAGCATCTCTCATATGAGGAAAGGCTGAGAGAGCTGGGGCTGTTCAGCCTGTGGAAGAGAAGGCTCAGGGTGGTAATCTTACCAATGTGTACAAATACCTGAAGGGAGGGTGTAAAGATGGAGCCAGGCTCTTTTCAGTGGTGTCCAGTGACAGGATCAGAGGCAATGAGCATAAACTGAAACACAGGAGGTTCCCTCTGAACATCAGGAAACACTTTTTCACTATGAGGGTGATGGAGCACTGGCACAGGTTGCCCAGGGACATTGCGGAGTCTCTGTCCTTGGAGATAATCAAAAGCTCTCTGGACGTGGTCCTGGGCAACCAGCTCTAGGTGAACTTGCTTGAGCAGGGGGGTTGGACCAGATGACCTGCAGAGGTCCCTTCCAACCTCAACCATTACGTGATTCTGTGATATGTTGAAATGTGCTTAAAAGAGGAAAGACACTCCACTGTATTTCCCCTCTTTTTATTATTCTGATTTCTTCCAAAAATAGCATAACAATGTACTTGCAAATGGAATTTGATACAAGAAATCTAACAAAACTAGCTTTGGCACACACAAATTTCAATGAAACATTTCAGCACTTCTAAAGTGTCATTTTTCAGCTAGTTTCATGAGTACTAATTCTAGCAGACAAGAAAGAGTCTTGTTTTCTTAATTTCAGCAGCAGAACTGACTGATTCTACTGCTTTGGTGAAGGTTATAGGTGTTCTTCTATACAATAAAAAAAAAAATCAGGAGTCACGGAGGGAAGAGTATCACCTAATTACAGGGAGAAGGCAATACAACTACAAACTCAAATAATGTAAATGCTTAACTTTGTAACAGAAATGTTCTTTCCTAGGTTTATTATAACTTTTCAAAATACTCATGTACCATCAACATTTCATCATTTCATCCCTATGTAAACTATACTAGCCAACAGAAGCAAACAGCTACTGTCAACCCAAGAAGGGAGAGAAAAAACAAAAAGTACCCACGCCCTCTCAGCAGTGGGTGGCTAAATGTCAGAAATCCCTAAGCCAGCTCTAAGAGACTGACGGACAGTTAAGATGGTAGTTAGGCACAGTTCTGACTATTAATTATTCCCAAACAAAATACTTGGCTCTAATTTGGGGGTTGATATCCACAAGTACCGGGGTGTATACACACATACACAGCGCCTCTCCCAGAGTGAACTTCTAGTATCCTCAAATATTATAATAGGCTCCCCTTTTAGTTCACGATCCAGTACATGACCATGTTCCTAATGCCTTAATGACTGCAACGGGGTCCCCATCACCACCAATAGCTCATCCTTCTGCCAAGCCCATTTGGAATTTTATGAAACAAGTAAGAAACACATCCTAAGATCTGTCTAATAAGTTTCAGGAGACATTGAAACTACCAGAAAGTCAGGAGAGTCTTTAATACAATAGAAAATGTTCATTAATCTAAGTTCAGCAGCTGTTATTGATCACCACATAGTCATATTTGGAAAAACAACATAAAGATTTTAAACTTCAGAAATTCAGTTCTTCCAGAGCAGTTTTGTACAGAACAAACTCATTTAATCTTGAAAGCACCATGAAGTGACACTACATATCAGCAAGCACAAAAAACAAGAACATCATGGGACTTTACCATGTAAACTACACCTTGAATACCACTAAGGTAGATTTACACTGCAGGCTTGAGCACAGCACAGAAGTACTCAAACTGACTCAGATATTATTTGCCACTTAGCTCTGCATGCAATGTAGATATACCCTGTATGTCTGAATATATCTCATTATGAATTAATTAACTGAGCTCTGCAGTACAATATTTAGGCCCTCATTCTGCACCATCAAAGTCAACAGTCATTTTCCCATCAACTTCAGAAAGTGCAGGGTCAGGCTTGTAATCACAAACATACTTCTACTAATAAAATATTTGTTTCTAACATAAAGTTGTGTCAAGTTCAAACATGAGTTTTGAGAGCATGCAGATTGCTTACAAATGCTTAAAAAGACTGGTTCAGAATCTTTCTTATATATACACACACAAGTCCAGCTGTCACAGACAGGCAATGTAACTCAGAATCATGAGCTTGCTCTAGTTTTTGTAGTGTCCTGCACACTTCTGATAATTAAAAAATAAAAAATAAAAAAATAGTTGCCACAATGGATTTCTGACCATTCCAACTTGCACATGGATATGATCTCTTCTTGCTGCATCCAGTACATGAAGTTTCACAGTTGCTTCTCAAATGCAAATACCAAGTAAATACCTAAAAAGGAAAATGGAGTATTTAAAGTTTCAGCTTCCTCTGCCACTCGATTAACTTTTCAAAATGTAAACAGGTTGATACTCTGCCCAAACAACCTGTTAGCAGGTTACTGAAATTATAAAAACTGCTATGGTTTCCCAATGAGTAACTCCAGCATTCAACTCCAGCATGGTTTTAGACACATTTTCACAATAGAGCTAAGAATGCACAAAAGCAAAATACTTTAAATCCTGTTGATATGGTTAATGCAATGCTAACTTCAGTTAACAGTATTACTGAACTGTGAATGTAATTCATCAATTACTATGCCATTTTACACATAATTAACATTCACTGGTACATAAAAAGTCATATGCAACTAAGTTTAAAGACTCCTTCAGACATGCAGTAATTGGGGTGAAATTATTAATAATTAATAATATTAAATATTAATTATTAATAATTTAATAATAAATATCACAGACAAAGAAGAAATATTTACAAATGCTAGATGGCATTTTCTCAACTCCAGAACAGTATGATTCTAGAAATGGATACTCATACAGTCCACACCAGCACCCTTAGGAAATACTTATTTGGCATATAATCGATGCCAGCTATGTCAGAAATTCTTATGCTTCATACCAAACAGATAAGTTAAACCAGTTTCTTGAGACTGTGACTCTAATTAAACATTTATGGATTTCCACTTGAACTCAGCTTTTGTTTTAATGGATGAGGTGCCACAACTACATTGCAAATCTTTCACGACAAGCCTCAGCAATAAAGCAAACTGTAGTTCCACGTAACGAGCAAGCTGTGCTTACACCTTAACTATCAGAAGCTCTGTATTCCAAATCTCTCTGAAAAGAGACTACTTAGAAAATACAGTCATCACTAACTTCTAAAGGTATAAAAAGGCCCTCTCAATTACATTAAGAGTTTACATAATACTTCTACATTGCTGGAATTAATGTCTACCTTCTGAGACATACTTTTAAAAAAGAGATGATAATTTAAGAAAGCAAACACCTTAACTAAAGATTTTTTCATTTGTGAATTGAACAGCATTTTTTGTTTTTAAACCATCAACACAACCAGTACAATGGTCTGCAAAAATGCAAATGCTGGTTGGCTGCAGTTACACAGAAGTTAGTAATAATCTCTCTGAGAGTTCATTTTTATCTTTAGAATTCCCAGTCCCTTATACCCGAGTTTTATTAAACTCAACATTGGAAAAAAATGATGTCAAAAGTTTTCCATGGCACATGCTCACAAAATTTCAAAACATATTTAACAATAGTGTATCCTTTTCAGTATCTGAGGCACTGACTTTTTTTTCTCTTCCCTTTATCAAACATTCAAATACCTCCTCACTATCCACGCTTTAATTGCTTCTTCCTGAAACATATATCACTACAGGCAAAGAATAAAGCTTCAATCCCTGTCTTCCCAAAACAGATTTGTATTATTTTTGATGAACGTATGTCCCAACTGGAGTTTGTTTTCTAGTTGACTGATAACAGTATAATATCCAAGTGTACCAAACAGAAGTATAGTATTTAATCCCCCAACACTAGCAAAATAATCCCTTAACACTGGCATCCTCTTTTCATACATCCTAAGTAAGGCTTCCCCAAACTATTTTAGCCCAAAAGTTTGTGTACTAGAAGCTACTTAAATAATGCAAAATTTCAACCTATTTTATGCACTTCCCTCCCAATTTCTTGAGATGTGTGTACTACACAATCTATACATAGGCATTTGAATAACACAAATAATAACATCTTCCTATATTTAAAATTTGGATTTTCTTCCATAACCAACAGGCTATTTTACACACTTTCCATATCAGTCATTCAGTCAACACTGAGTTTTCAAAACCATACTTACTTGTTGCTTCCCATTCAGATTTACTCAAGGTTCCCTAGAAGGGGACAAAAAAACCAAAAACACAGTTTCAACAAAAATTGAGGAAACAATAACACACCAGTTTAACTCAGGATAATCAATCTTTCACAGACCAACTTCTAACCACCCACGCTGGCTGGCTACTTAGAGACTAGAAGAGCTTTACTGTAGACCACAGATACTTATAACTCCAATAACTAGGACAATAGGGAATTGGAACACCCCAGATAACGGAACACACCTAAATTACACAGGTATAGGAGAATGGGCCAACAGTCTGTTGGGCAGGATGCCTCTGTAATGCAGACCATGCTGAGTCCATTACCACACATCTGTGTGACTTGACCTGGCTTGACCTGGCTCAAGCTGCTCTCCAGCCCGAGATGCCCAACACTTGTGCAGAAGTGAAGAAGAGGCCCTCTATCATGGTGCTGCCACCTTCCCCAGGAATACTGCCTGCCTCCACCTAACACCTCCCTGCAGCCCACAAAAAACTATTTGCAAGAGACTAACTCCCAACCCAGCTCACACATTGTGGAAAAAAACAGCCTGCCTTGGAGCCTAGGAAACCTACTCCTAGCTCAGCCTTTCAGATGAAAGCAGGGCAAGTGCACAAGTAAAAAGCTGCTGCCATTTACGCTACCAATTAAGAAGCATGAGGTAACAACAACAACAAGCTAGTTTTCTGCTCTGCCCATTCCATCCCCTTCCAGTGAGTCCTCACTTGGGGCATGATTTAGCCCATATGCTACCCACTGACCAATCCTGACCAAATGATTCATCTTTTAAAATGCTAGTGAAAAAAGGCTTTTTCAAGCAGATTTCTTCTTTGCCAGGTGACACAGCACCTGGCAAAAGACGTCTTTGGTCTGACTTGACCATTCTCATGTTCTTAAGCTTATTTCTTAAAAGAAGCATTTTTCTTTTTAAAATTTTTACATTTCAAATACAGAGAGCAGGTATCTTTTTCCTCTTGATGCAGGATTTTTATACATACAGTAAAAGGAATACATCTTCAAGAACTCAGAACATGAACGGTAGATAAACCAATAATTAAAAAAAGAAAAATCCAAGCAGAAAAACTTCAAGCTGACCAGCCTCATGCTGTATCTATGACTATGAAATACAATGCCATCAGTAACTGCATATGATTTTACTAAAACTACAATCTTTACTCAAACTAGTCTCCAATTTTAGTTCTCTTTTCAAAGAGCCTCAACACATAAAAAAAGACCTAAAGTTCAGACTGAAAGAGCCAGCATTGCTTATCAGGAACCAGTCAGCATGAATAGTTAGGTTAAACCAAACCTTTGCAAGGTTTCCATCCAGTCTGACTCCTCAAATGCAGAGGCAGAAGCAAACACACAGCTACCTGCTACCCAGAATAGCTAGCCTGGCTACAGACAGAGAGGCAATAGCCAAATGGCAGCAGTTCCTGGGGAAAAAGGACAGCAGACATTGCTTATCCTCCTGCTTGCTTCCCGGGAACAGCAGCTGTGCCGGCTCCTGTCCATCATGCATGCAACTCTGAGACCAATAGAGAAGAGTGAAAGGCTGAGAGGGGACCAGCTGCAGATAACTCCAACATTGTCATTTACTGCTAGGACAATGGAAGAAAGAAAAACCCTTTATAAAAACAGGAGAAAGACAGCAAGCTCAGAAAGGTAGCATGTGCATTAGAAGACAGGACCAGAAGCAGAAGAAACGTATTTAATTGGACCACTGATCTAAAATCTAATATGACCTCCCTTAAAGATGGTTCAGTATTCTTTTATTTCTGAAGTCATAAGTCAAGCTGCCAAAACAGGAGAAATGCAGAAAAATATATGACAGGATAGCAGACTAAGTTTTGTACACAGTAAGATTATGATCATCACAAACAAAGTTTCTTTTCATTCCAGAATGTGAACAGAATATCATATTTAATAAAATTGAGGGCAGAAATATATGGATTTAGTTTTATGCACATAGGACTAGTCTAATTCTAGGAGCTCTGTTAAAAAAAAAATGAAGGCACAGCAGATTTAAAAAAATAGCATTTACAGAACTTTAATAAAATCAGTTGAGAAGTGAGCTGGATCTTCTTCGCCCAAAAAGACAACAGAAAAACAATGTTTAACATTTCAAATACAGTATTATGAAGAAAGTTTTCAACTCTCCTGTCAGAGGATTAAAAGAAAACTAAAGCTTTCAATTGGTAGTGTGAAGATCCAGAAACATAAGAAAATTCTTCAAATTAACAAGAGTTATGTTAGAACAGCTGCCAAGGAAGATGGCAAAATATCCTTTCCCTTTGCATTGTTACAAATTTCTTAATAGCTACCAAATTAAGTGAATTTGATTCTTTGAGTATGGGGTATAGATTAGATTAACTCCTCAGCCCTGCAGCTCTATGATTTGTCACACGCGCAGAGACATTCATACCACTGTCCTTGCAGCTGAAATGAAGAAGGCACCACATGTCCAAAAGATCAGGACCTCAATTTTAGACACCATTTGCTCTAGTGAAGTAAGAAGGAACTTACCAATGGTAACTTCGCCTTGCCATCTTTGATGAACTCTTTTGCATGCTCATAATCATCAGGTTTATCAGAAACAAGCCTGGAATCACCAAATGTAGAATATGGCTGGAGAACATAGGAAAAAATAAGAAAAAATATTAATTGCATAGTAAGATACATTAATCACATCAGTCATGGGTTTGCCACAACATAGCCTAGAACAGAGGTTAGTAATTATTAAGAGGATCTTAAATTTAGATCCCTCCTTTAAAGCACCTATAAGATCATGTCTGTTATTCCCTACTTCCCAGAAAATCCATCACCCAGGATTTAGAAACTAACTTTTATCCGTATGTCTCCAGAACAGGGGAAACAGAATAACTATGCCTTGGCCCATCGATCCAGCCTGTCCAGATCCCTCTGTAGAGCCTTCCTACCCTCCAGCAGATCAACACTTCCACCCAACTTGGTGTTGTCTGCAAACTTACTGACGGCGCACTCAATCCCTTCATCCAGATCGTTGATAAAGATATTAAACAGAACTGGTCCCAATACTGAGCCCTGGGGAACACCACTTGTCACCAGCCACCAACTGGATTTAACTCCATTCACCACAGCTCTTTGGGCCCGGACATCCAGCCAGTTTTTCACCCAGCAAAGGTTATCCCCGCCAAAGCCATGAGCAGCCAGTTTCTCCAGGAGAATGCTGTGGGAAACAGTGTCAAAGGCTTTTCTGAAGTCCAGGTAGACAACATCCACAGCCTTCCCCTCATCCACTAAG